CTGTTTTTATGAAATACAAGCAGAAAGTACAAATCTATATGCTATAGGCCCCCATTATACATCGATAGATACTTACCGAAAGAAAAATCAAACAGAAATCGGTAAAATAACGCTAAATAACAAGTTAATCAAAAAACTTAACCCAACATTTACATGTAGATATATCAAGTATATACGTTATCAATATATATTGATTATTAAAAAAGTTTTCTATCAGAATTTTATCCGATACAAAAATATATATTCTACCTCTACTGATTTTCACCAAATAATAGTAAATTGACCCATTTTCCTGATTCTCTGAAAGTATATTTTTTTTGTATCGGTATAATAAACAGTTAAAGTATATATATCATTGAAGGAGTCAGCAAGATTCCAGTTCTCATCGAGCAAGGCTATATTTCCCTCGGCTTCGCCTCGGGAAATAGGCTTGCTCTTGGGGAACTGAAATCTTGCTGACTTCGCCTCGGAAAATAGCTTGCTCTTTGGAGTTCGTGTATATCCTAATACTATTGTCGTCTTAAATGATTGATTAGTCGGGAAAAAATACGAAACTGTTAAATTCGAATAGCCTTTTACATGTATCTACTTATTATTGTAATACATGTAATAGTTTTCATTATCATTAACATCAACTACGACCGACGCACGTTCCTGGGATAATTTTTTTCAAAGACAAATTTGTTGGAATATTAAATTCAAATCCGTAAATAATAACTCCAATCTTTAAATAATATAATAAAATAAAAACGTTTTAAACTTTCAAGTTGTTACAAATAAAAAAAAAATATCAAAAGGGGTTTGTACTGAAATAATTCGGCCAAACGGCCGGGGGGGGGGGGGGGGGGGGGATCAAGTCATATGTTTTGGAGGGCGCGTATCATAACCGCTACATTTTCAAAATTTTCATTACCGCTACATTTACATACTCATTGCCTCTACAAAAAAGATTGTATTACCGCTACATTACCGCTACATTGCCTCGTTCGTTAAAGCCAGCAGCTTTTTCATGTACATATTGATTAAAAGTACAACAAACACATGTACAAGACTTTTTTCTGCTCACCACGAGGGAAGTGTATGTAGGACTTTGAGCAGATTTTTTTCCACTTTTTTTATGAAATCTATTTTATGTAATAAAACCTTTTAGAAAATATTAAAATAGAGAAATTGTTCATGGATAAAACACACAGTCTTCACAGAATTGATAGATCTTTGAAGGTCTTTTGCTTGACGTAGGCCTATTGCTGTCTGGAAATCTCATCATTTTCATATTTTGCGTACAGTTCTTTTTCAGACTCGTGGTGTTACTCTCCTTCCGGTCTGAATAGAACTCATGCATATTCCATGCCATTGCTGACAGATTCGAATATGTAGTTGAGTTGTAATCGCCAATACTTTTATAGATAAAATGTAGCGGTAACGATCACCCGAAATTTCGAAGAAATGCATGTAACGGTAATGAATTGAAATTTTTCGCAATGTATCAGTAATGACCTCCCGTTTTGGAATACACAATGTAATTGCATTGCTCCTCATCCGTTTAAATTTTCACCATAAATTAATAAGACATATTAATTTTTTATATATATCAGTAGGTTTAATTTTACCTCGTCTTAACATTTAAATATTCTCGAATAATTCCTTTACGTCCTTATAAAAAAATTATCTGATTTTTTAAATCAGATCTCCATTCGAAAAAAAAAATTGTAGAAAACACTATTTTTCTAAATACGCAATTCAACAGTAAACCAATAAAAAAAAATCACAACTTACACCGCGTTTATTATAGTAATATTTCAATTTACCTCGATAGGCAAACTAAATAATTAATACAGATAATTCCGGTATGTCTCAAAATGTAATGATATTAGATAAACATGTATGGAAAATTATTAAAATTAAACAGCAACTTGTTGTGTTGACACACGCGCTTTTGAAGAACTTCTTGTGACTATTGTTAATCGATACAGTGTACTCCGCATACAAAGTAAAACACGCATGTAACCAGGTGCCAGGGACAAACAATTTTAATCCGTTTAAAGGTAATTCATTATATCGCATAAACGAAAAAAGTGACTTCTTTGATTATAGTATCCATGGACATCAAATTATATAAATACTGCATGTATATAGTTGAGGGTAACATTATACATTTATTGATTGGGTTCGAGGGCAACACGCATTTTGTCGGACCCAAGAACCAAACTGTTTGCCGGAGGCCGTTAGTTTGGTTCGAGGGGGTCGACAAAACGCATTTTGCCCGAGAACACAGGAAATAAATGTTTTGTTATTTCATTTATTTATTTTATTATTATTATTATTATTATTTGACATACAATGTACATGTATGTCGACCACCAACGAATGCTAATGAGATTTAGCTGACCCCGCCCATTAGGTGACGTAAGCGGTCCAACATCTCATCGACAGATCCAATATCTCACTCCGCGGTCAAACATCGATTTTTTATGCCCGCTCAGTAAAACATTGGAAATGTTAGATTTTTACTAGTATTGATTTATATAGGAACTAATTTTTAAAGGTATAACAATGTAAATTTTCAAATGATACCCTCTACTACATGTAGTATTCATTATAATATTCTGAATGTTTTATACAAATACTGTAAATAAAGATGAAGCGCTCGCGAATAGATTCCGGGCGGTATTTATTTGGGGGGTTGGGGGGGGGGGTGATATCACTCGTCGTCAAGCAATGTTGACTGTTACTGAATTCTATCTGGAAGGCGTGGTTCTATCATTCAGAGGGTAATAGTGTTTTTTAAATAAATGTTTCTCAAAGAATCAAATTCCAGTTATTTACATGAAAGTATAATATACCAAAATAACGATGTTGTATTTCCGGGCCCTTAGATACTCTTGCAAAAATCTATAATATACAGGCCAACGGACTAACAAGCTCATTTCATTAGCCAACAGAAGGAAGAAACTGGTTTTAGGTTCTTTATATATTTCCAGAATTTCTTTAACGGAGTGTGCTCCAAAGCCCTGATTCAATACCACCTGTATCCAACCTTATCAAATAATATATTATTTTTCTTAACCCTTCCATCAGTATAATCAAAGTGGAAATTTAATTAAAAAAAAGGGGGGGGGGATTCTCATACAAGTACCCAAAATGTGGAGGGGGAGGGGGGGTTGAGGTTGCTTAACATTGTCACTGATTCCTTTATTGAATGTAGATTTGATATCCTCAATATCATCCATATAATTTAGTACCCTGTCTTGTAGAAAAACCCAAGTGTGTGCCTTTCAGTAACGTTTTATCCTTGAATAAAGTAACTCTCATGGCCCCAGTCATCACAATCTCAAACTTCACCACACTCCCAGCCATACGTAATTTCATACACAATTCACTAGTTCATCATAAACTCCAAGTTGTAAAGGACGGTGGCAGGGAGAGTGTGACAAATTTTGGTCTCTAGATTTGGTAGAGCCAGCCTGAGGCATGTTAGCGGATATTGCAAATGCAAACAAAGAATCTTTTAAGCTTGGTTCTAAGTTCTAAAAAACTTTTGACCAACACAATCAGATATACATAGATATTTTATAAAATGAATACAAATTTACTTTATTACTTTATTAATTCATTAATGTAATGAGAATATTTTAGCACATTGAACAATACGGGCTAGGCTAGGAGATCAAAAAGTAAAACAGACTGATTCAGATATATTTCAATTTTGGACATCAAACTTCCACTGAGACCTGAAATATAAATAGTGAATAATGCCTATCTCTTTACATATTTTCAAATTTGAATTTAAAAAAAATGATAAAAAAGAACTTATAAAAAAAAACAAAAAAAAAAACCATCTGACCAGAAGGCTCACTTAAATCTTTACAAATAATTTCATTAATAAGTCAACTAATTCTGAACAATATTTGCATATAATACACTGGTTTACACAGATATAGATATGAGCCACAACCAAGTACAAATTCAAATTACTTCTCAAATAGGTAAAAACCCTTACAAAGACTTCAAAATGAGAACTGGACCTTTATGACTAGGCTTAATTCATCTTTTTCCATTAAAATCATTTATTATTTTAAAAAAATTAAACTCACTATGTTTCTTCAGAAAAGGGTGTACTTTTATGATCTTAAAATTATATGAATGAGAATCTAATACACTGAAGATGCCAAAAGCCAAAATGCTTGCCTGAGACATTTTGTGTCTACTGTTCTTGAAAAGATTGTTTTTAAAGATTTTCCCCCTCCATATTCCCATCAAAAATGTTGACACCTCTATACATGTAAAATTTAAACCCTAATTTCAGTCCGTTTCTACATGTAACCCCAATGCCCAAATATTAAACAAATTTAAATGTTGACACATAGATACATTTAAAATGAAAACCCTACTTTTAGCCCCAATGTCTATAATTTGAACAAAATTAAATCCATATGATGTTGTAATGTTTGCATATGACTTTGATTTATGTCACCCTGCTAGTTTTTCATTTTACATATTTTCATGCAAAACTTTTAACCCCCTCTGCAGCTCTACCCTTGCCTTAGGGGCAATGAAAAAAAACTTGAATCTATGTTCATTAAGAAACTCTTGGATAACATTTGTCTTATATGACCAAGTAGATCTTAAAATGAAAGTTTTTAAATGACATTATCCCATTTTTCATATTTCTTCATTATCTCCCCTTGGAAAAGGATGCAGCCCTTTATTTGAATAAGCTTTATAACTCCTTTTAAGCTGAGATACATTGTACCAAATGTGCTTTACATTGACCAAATGTTAAAAAAAATTAGAAAATGTTAAAAGTAAATGGAGGAAAACGGTCAAACATATAAATAATGCATTGTTGGACACCAAAGACTTCTTTTTATCAGAATTGTGCAATTGAGCCTTTGGATCAGGTGAGCTAAATTCCATATCCATGTTTAGCTATGAACCTTACTGTTTAACCATGCAAGAGTGTTATATCTCCTTGAAATAATTACACCGGTACCATATACAAATGTAATTTTAAGGCAAATCACTTCAATATATAATATTGGTACAATTTAGAAGATCTGAAATCCACCGGCAACTGTCAAAAGCAATCAAGTCTCACTTATAGAGGAATCAGTATGTTTTTAAATCTACTTTTAAAGCTTTAATTCAATTGTCACAGCAGATTTGGTGTAACTTCCAAGAAATATTTTCCGCACTGGCTGGCGGTCTCTCAGTTCAGCATTCAAGCACTCAAAATGGTTGCATGATTCATTTTTTCTGATGAACACTAGGAATTTTCTTTTGTCCTGGTTTTCTTCTTCAGCCCACCATCATGTATGCATCTATATTGAAATTAAATTAAAATGATCATTTAATCATGCAAGTCTTTAAATTAAAAAACACTTCCAATCATAAAATCCTTCCTGCATATAATATACATTTATTTATCATTTTATAAACTGTATGTTGCCCTACTTATGATGTACTATTTTTTTTTAAATGTAATTCTTATACATTCTAGTGTTATATGTTTTGTTAATTGTTATTTGTAAATGAAAATAAATTTCAAAATAACAATCATCCTGTGAGTATTACATAAGCCTACTTGCAAGTGTAATCTGGTTCCCCTAAAAAATTAAAAAGGCTATAATTCTGTCAAAAATCAACAAAGTGTTATGAACTGCAAACTTGATCTGAACTTATCAAGGTACATATACACTCACATATACTAATGAAAGAAAAAGTGAGCAAGCTCACATACCCCACGCTCCCCCAAAACTCGACAATTGCAACATGTAATGAATGGCACAGTGCATTTTAAATACACAGTATAATTCAAAAAGAGGCATTACTTGCAAAAAATCATCACATCAAAACTTCTTGCATATAAGGACATTTAAATCTTTGTATGTTACAAATTTAATTGGGCTGAAGTTTCTAGATAAATAATGGAATCAAAATTTCTTGGTAATATACAAATCTATACATTATGTCTGAAATACCTACAAAGTTTCAGGAAATTCAGTGCAGGAGTTATTCTGACAATTAAACTGTTATTTAAATTCCTCAGTGATTTTGATTTGTTAATGAGTGTAAGTCCATGTCCAACACATGACAATTTACACATTTAAATAATTGATGGAAACAAAATTATGATGTAATCATATGAATTTGTTTATATACTGTACTTATGAAATTATTTAAGGCAAAGTACAAATTTGAGGGGGGGGGGGGGGGGGGGAGAACTATCCAAGAGTGTGTGTGTGTTAAATCATTAATATTTTGATCTCAAAATCAATAGGGGTCTTTTAAGGTCATAAAATATTTCACATAATATTTCATTACAAAAGCCGATTCCAGTGGATTTCCTTATTACCTAGCTGGAAAGTTTCTTCAATAATAGGCAAAACTCTTAAGGCAAAAATAATGGAATCGGAATTTCCTGGTAATATGTACATCTACACACTGTGTACTAAATATCTGCAAAGTTTGACCAAATTCTGTGCAGCGGTTAAAGAGGAGTTGCACTAAGAAACTGTTCATCTCTATATTCAAGATATGGCCAAAAATCCAAGTTGAAAAGTGCCAAAATTCCCAGAAAAATCAAGGAATCGGAATTTCCTGGTAATATGCACATCTACACACTGTGTACTAAATATCTGCAGAGTTTAAACAAATTCTGTGCAGCTGTTTAAGAGTAGTTGCACTAACAAACTGTTCATCTCTATATTCAAGATATGGCCAAAAATCTAAGTTGAAAAGAGCCGAAATTCCCAGAAAAATAATGGAATTGGAATTTCCTGGTAATGTGCACATCTACACATTGTGTCCTAAATATCTGTAGAGTTTGACCAAATTCTGTGCAGCGGTTTAAGAGGAGTTGCGCTGACAAACTGTTCATCTCTATATTGAAGACATGGCCAAAAATCTAAGTTGAAAAGTGCCGAAATTCCCATAAAAAATAAAGGAATCGGAATTTCCTGGTAATATGCATATCTACACATTGTGTCCTAAATATATGCAAAGTTTGACGAAATTCTGTGCAGCTGTTTATGAGGAGTTGCGCTGACAAAAAAACAGGACTGATGGACTGAATGACACACTGACTGACTGACACACTGACTGACGGATGGGTCAAAAACATTATTGCCCCCGCAACTTGTTGCGTGGGGTATAAAAATCAGCTGAATACACATGTATCTGCGAGTGCTTAGAAAAAAACATAGGTAATCAAAGATTACGAAGTTCACCTCGACGAATGTTATCTACATGTAAAGCAAATTTCACATCATATTTTTTATCTAGTTAGGGTACATCCCAAGATCAATATCCATGCAAGTTTGATTTAATTATAGACCTGCTCAAAAAACTTTTGACCTGTTTAGTAATCAAGAAAATTTTGGTCAGTTCCAACATCCAAAGCAAGTCTGGAAGTTTTCATCCTTAGATGCACCATCTATGCAAGTTTAATCATAATATTATATAGCTACTCAAAAAAAATTACCCTGGTCACTCATCTGGAAAATGTACGTCAGATTCAGAATCCAAAGCAAGTCTGGAAGTGTCCATCCCTAGATACAACATCCATGCTAATTTGGTTAAAATATGGCTAAAATTCACTCATGTGGAAAATCTAGGTCAGATCCAGCATTCGAAGCAGGTTGGTTAGTGTACATCCCTAGATGCATCATCCATGAAAGTTTGGTCGAGGTAGGGCTTATAGTTACTTGGGAATGGGACTACTCCTAAATCTATACCTGGTCTCACATGTGGAAAATGTAGGTCAGATCCAGCATTCGAAGCAAGTGTGGTAGTGTCCATCCCTAGATGCATCATCCATGCAAGTTTGATCAAGGTAGGGCTTATAGTTACTTAGGAATGGACCTGCTCCTAAAACTTTAATTTGGTCACTCATCTGGAAAATCTAGGTCTGATTCAGCATCCGAAGCAAGTTTGGTCGTGTCCATCCCTAGATGCATCATCCATGCAAGTTTGGTCCAGGTAGGGCTTACAGTTACTTGGGAATGGACCTGCTCCTAAAACTTTAACTTGGTCACTCATCTGGAAAATCTAGGTCAGATCCAGCATCCGAAGCAAGTTTGGTAGTGTCCATCCCTAGATGCATCATCCATGCAAGTTTGGTCCAGGTAGGGCTTATAGTTACTTGGGAATGGACCTGCTCCTAAAACTTTAACCTGGTCACTCATCTGGAAAATCTAGGTCAGATCCAGCATCCAAGCAAGTGTAGTAGTGTCCATCCCTACATGCATCATCCATGCAAGTTTGGTCCAGGTAGGGCTTATAGTTACTTGGGAATGGGACTTGCTCCTAAAACTTTAACCTGGTCACTCATCCGGAAAATCTAGGTCAGATCCAGCATCCGAAGCAAGTGTGGTAGTGTCCATCCCTAGATGCATCATCCATGCAATTTTAATCCAGGTAGGGCTTATAGTTACTTGGGAATGGACCTGCTCCTAAAACTTTAACCTGGTCACTCATCTGGAAAATCTAGGTCAGATCCAGCATCCAAAGCAAGTTTGGTAGTGTCCATCCCTAGATGCATCATCCATGCAAGTTTGGTCCAGGTAGGGCTTATAGTTACTTGGGAATGGGACTTGCTCCTAAAACTTTAACCTGGGACGCCGACGCTAACGCCGACACCGACGCCGACGCCGGGGGTATAGCATAAGCTCATCTCGACTTCGTCGAGGTGAGCTAAAAATCCAGACAAGAGGCCCATGGGCCACATCACTCACCTGAGTAACTTTGGCCATGCTGTTCTTTACCAGATTTCCCCCTTTTAATATACCTATTGTGGCCCCGCCCTACCCCCGGGGGTCATGATTTGAATAATTTATATTCTACCCTACCCCAGGATGCTTCCATATAAGTTTCAGTATTTCTGGCCCAGTGGTTCTTGAGAAAAAGATTTTTTAAGATTTTTCCTATATATTTCAATGTAAAACTTGGATTCCCTATTGTGGCCCCGTCCTACCCCCGGGGTATATGATTTGGACAATTCAGATTCTACACTACCCCAGGATGCTTCCAAATAAGTTTCAGCTTTTCTGGCCCAGTGGTTCTTGAGAAGAAGATTTTTTAAGATTTTTCTTATATATTTCAATGTAAAACTTGGATTCCCTATTGTGGCCCCGCCCTACCCCGGGGGTCATGATTTTAACAATTTAGAATCTACACTACCCCAGGATGCTTCCATATAAGTCTCAGCTTTTCTGGCCCAGTGGTTCTTGAGAAGAAGATTTTTAAAGATTTTTCTTATTAATTTCAATGTACAACTTGGACTCCCTCTTGTGGCCCCGCCCTACCCCCGGGGGTCATGATTTGAACAATTTAAAATCTACACTACCCCAGGATGCTTCCACATAAGTTTCAGCTTTTCTGGCCCAGTGGTTCTTGAGAAGAAGATTTTTAAAGATTTTTCCTATATATTTCTATGTAAAACATTGATTCCACATTGTGGCCCCGCCCTACCCCCGGGGGTCATGATTTGAACAATTTAGAATCTACACTACCCCAGGATGCTTCCATATAAGTTTCAGATTTACTGGCCCTGTGGTTCTTGAGAAGAAGATTTTTTAATGACCCCACCCTATTTTTGTCTTCTCTTGATTATCTCCCCTTGTGAGGGGACTTGGCCCTTCATTTTAACAATTTAAATTCCCCTTCACCCAAGGATGCTTTGTACCAAGTTTGGTCAAAATTGACCCAGTGGTTCTTGAGAAGAAGTCAAAAATGTGAAAAGTCTTCGGCTCAGGTGAGCTAAAAACCAAGTGAAGAAGACTGACAGACAGACTGATGGACAGATAAGGGGGAAACCTGTACTCCCCTCCGGTGTCACTGGTAGGGGATTTAAATAATTACATATGGTGTACAAGTATTTTGGAGACTGTCTGGAACAGTAGTATATTCATTAATTTTAAAATGAACATCATAAAAATATTGATCTTAGTACATGTACATGATGTGTCATATACATGTAGAACATGCTAACTAAATAAATTAAAAGGAAGGCCCCACTTTTCAGAGCACAGCTGTAATAAAACAAAGAAGTGTGGAAAACCAAATGGGACAGACTGACAGTTAGACCATGAAGGAGAAAACCTATAGTCCCCTCCAGTTCCACCAACAGGGGACTAATAAAATAAGAAGTTTACACCCCCTCAAAAGTTAAAAGACCCAACTTTTTTAGATTGAGAATTTTTTTTAAAAAGTGATAATCTTACCTTTGGTGATTCAAACAGAATTATAAAACTTAAAACTAGATTCACATAAAATTTTAATGAATAATGAGTAAAGAAAACATTTTTAAACATTAGAAATTTTAATTGATCCTTTTTAGCAAATATTTTTCATCACATGCATCATTCTTGCTATGGCAGGTTAAAATTTGATGAAAGTAATTATCAAGAATATTAGATGTAAAGATTGCAGGGGCTTTTTAATGACAATATTGTGTGTAGGAAGTTTTCACATATATATATATACACTGTGCCGTAGAAAGCCTGTCCATTGCTAGAATTTATTCACTATTTTTGTGTCACCTGCAGAGCAGAGCGGCACTGAGGGATCACTTTACCAGGCGTCTGTCTAGCTGTCTGTCTGTCTGTCACACCCTATATCTCAAAATCTGTAAGAGGTATGGATTTGATATTTTGCACATACATTTCCTGGCACTACAGATTTGTAAATTATCATGGGGGTACCGACCTTGTGACCTTGACCTTTAAAATAGTTCATAGTGCTGATATACAACATATTTTTAACATTTAAGAGGTAAGTCTATGCTACTTAGCATGTATACTGTTTGTCATAAGACAATATGAAAAATATCAGCATTACAATCCACTTGACCTTGACCTTTGACCTTAATTGCAAAAAATATCTTGGGCAGTTAATTAAACTTATGAATTTTGAATTTTGAGAGGCAGGGTTTAGATAACTGGCATTAATACATGTTCATGAGCTCATGATCGTGTACTTTGAAACCTTATGATATTCAGTTACCAGACAAACTTATTCAAATACTATGAAAATAGTCATCATGATGGGTATTTCACAATGGATCATGTAGACTAAGATTTGCAGTAAATTAATTAAGATAGACTGAAATCTCTTTTGAATGATTATTGGAAACATGTTTAGCTCATGAAGAAGTACTTTAAAAACATTAAAAATACATTGGGATCAGTTCTCAACAATGGATCATGAAGACAGACAAATGCAGTAAAGACAGACTGAAATCTCTTGGAGGATTGTTGGAAACAATTAATAAAATGATAAATAGATATTTCTAATAATTTCAATTTAAATGTTTATTTGACATGTCTTTGAGGGTTAAGGAACCATATTTTCTTAGACTGGCAGAATACTATCCATGTATGCCATTTTTTTCTTTACAGGCAAATGCATGAACTATCAGTTTATCATGCTTTATACACAGTAAATTAGTAATTAAGTAAAAAGCTGACCAGGTACTCATAGATTTGTTTACACTTGAATTGAAGCTACAAAGCAGGTGACACGTGTTCCTTGGAACACTCTAGTTTAAATATGTTGTCTACATACACTTAAAGTCTTCAGCAATCAGCATGTCCCTCTTATAAGTTAAACTTACACAATTAACTGACACGTTTACTTTCAACAGATTTTATCTAAAGATATCTAATGATTTTATTATATATTGCAATTATAAATTCATTAAATCTATATGTCCTTTATTTGTCACACATAGTCTCTTAATTAGGGGTGTATTGTTATACCAGTATATGGACATACCTTTCAAATGAAGTTGGTTACCAGTTAAAAACAAAAAAATATCTTAACTGTTTTTTTACTTTGTCAATTTAAAAATTAGAAAAGAATTCAAGTCATCCTAAAGTACACTGTACTTTACAAAATGTAATTCCTTTCTTTCTTTCTTTTTTTTTGTTTGTTTTTGTTTTGAGATATCGAATTTTGTATTATTCTATAAATTATATTCATAGACAAACCTTATTTCATAATGATTGAAGAATGCATCTATTCCTAACAATTTTACAATGAAAACTTTTATGATTTTTTTATATTCTACAGAACACATAGAACAGAAGTAAAAATTAAGTAGAGAGTCAATGAATAGTCGACTATTTGACTGTCAGTCGAATGGACCGACGATCGAATAATGAAACGAAATTCGAATATTATTGTAATTAAATAAAATTTAACGCAATAAAAGAGTAATAACAAGATGGAATTCTCATCACAAATTTGAGAATTGAACTGTCTTTCCTCAGAGACATTTGATAAGACAATTTTTCTCAACAAAAAACGGTTGATTTTCTATGAATGTAAAGAAAGTACAGTAACTTTAAGACTTAGTGCTTGACTACTGCGAGAATCATTTGTCAGTAACGGCCTGTGTTGTTTTGTAATAAATTACCCACTAATATACTGGGCTTTGTTTGTAAAATATTAATTGGACTTGATATTATACCATGTACCAATTATCTTTTGTTGTTTTAAGATTGCTCAAATGCAAGGAACCAACCATGGCTGTGACAAATATGTTTTGACACGTCGATAATTATTAAAATCATTCGCTTACATTTTAAACTGTTTAAGAACATTTTGATAGCCAGATTTTATCAATTATTGATTGCTCTGGCTGTCAAAATGTATCTAACTGTTTAACAATTTCATAGGCACATGACGCGTAAAAAGTGTGAGATTACCCCCCCCCCCTTTTTCCCAATTTCATAATACATGTATTAACAGTGATTTTTCTACACCCAATTTATGTCCGAATATCAGCCCTTTCCTCTTTTAAAATTGCCAATTTTTCCCCCATTTCAGTTGCTTTTTTCCCAAAATAATACCTTTATTGCTTTTGTTAAATAGATTTTTTTATGTACAACTTATCTAAAATGGTTCTCAGTCATTCAGACTCTTAAAATAATAGTGAAGAACAGCAGATTATTTTGTGCATTTACAAGACTTTAAAAAAAAAAAACCACATGGATCATGTCAAACGTGAAACTAAATACATCGTAATAAAGTGTAAGATGCATGTGAACCAGCGAAACATAGGTTCATTTGTAAATCCAAGTACTAGAAGTTCAACAAGCATCCCTGATTCCATGAAAATCAAACTGTTTCTACACCTGCCAGATGCAACTAATATTGCAGAGTAAATGCAGCAATATGATTTGGATAATTTAGAAAGCTTAATAATTAGTAAGAAAAAAATGATTTGTTATAAATCATGTCAGGTTATATCATCTTCAATGGCTATTATGATTAGGATTTCTCTTACGTCTACCTTTATGACAAAAAAAAAGGGGGGGGGGGGATAGAAATATAGCACGGTCTCAATTAATGACAACTTTCAAAGATTAAAAAAAAGAAAGTTAAAAATGTAAAACTGTTTCTAATTTATTTTGCAGTAAACATTTTGAATAAATGATGTGACATTTAAATATATATTTTTACCTGTCAATTAAGGTTAATTTCAATCTTATTGGTATTGGAATGTTTTGTATCAAATTTGCTTAACTTTGGCCAAGTGGTTCTTGAGAAGAAGTTGAAAATGTGAAAAGTTTACAGATGGATGGACAGACACTGGACAACATGTGATCAGAAAAGCTCACTTGAGCTTTCATCTCAGGTGAGCTAAAAACTCAAAAGGGGGGGATGTAAAGTCATACATGCACCTTGTCCTTTAGCTTTCATGAAAATTGAAATATATGTATTTTAAAAAAATCAATGAAAAACTACATGTAAAAATTAGTTAAAATTAAATGGTAGTAATCATAATTGTTAGGTTATTAACAATCAAGATAAATGTTTAATTCAATTACCAATAATGAGCTCCAAGTTTAAAGCCATATTTCCAATGGTTGATTCTTTGTCATCAAAACTCCTAAAATCCATCTTAGTCTTAACTCTCACATCTTCCTTGAATTTTTGAGAATCATGATTTTTGTTAATTTTGTCAGCTCAACAGTATTTCCTGACTTTATGGAAGTCTGAAGAAAGTCCTGAGGATTACACTCTACTATTCTTTTTTTTTTCACACTCCCATGAAATTTACTTTGATTTGTCATATTTGGTTTCTCACAATCCTTAAATCTTTCTATTGTGGCTATACATGCTTCCTTTAAACTTGGTTGATATCATGTGTTCTATGATCCACCACAAGCTGTAGAACAGGTGTCCTTCTTCTTACAGGGTTTGTTGATAAGAACTGTTCATAACTGAAAAGATAAAGTGATTCCCATCTATTAGAATGTTGCAGACCTTTAATGAAATATCAAGATTACAAACAGTATTTAAGCTCAAAGGTGCATTGAAACATTACTAATTGTGAGCATTGCAAACATAGATCTCTAAAACATCAGAGGTGGGATGAGTTGTCATGGAGGAATAAGCATCCCCTGTCAACTAGTTACACCTGCTGTGAGCTCCTTGTCATAATAGGGTGAATGGATAAATCTGTAGACAATTCAGTATAAAAATAATGGCCTAACAATTTCTGTATGAAAAACATCAGTAAACATTTGACTTATCTGTAGACTGTATTTGTTAACAAGGTCATTGTATCAAACACAGAATTTGTAAAATGTTGGCTGTACCTGTATCATCAACTTATTTGCCAATAGCTTGCCTCATTTACGTAATTGTTTGTACTTGGTACACATGCTCTTGCCCTTTGAATAAAATGGGAGACATAAACTCCATATGCAGGTGATAATGCTACATAAGTAAGGAAATTAATAATAGAAAAATTAAAGTTACATGTTTATCATAAAGTTTAGTTGTTACTTTGCCAATAATGTCTTTATCTAGTAAAATATTCGAATATAAAACAGATGTATAAGCCTCTGTGGTGTCTTTAACTTTGAGTTCAAAGAGATATACATGTGAATGAAAAAAAAAAATAAATATAATGAATAGTGATCAATCTCAAAAAATCTTTAACAATACAAATCTGTGAAGTGCCTGGCAAAAACAAGGCCCCCCCCCCCCCCCCCCCCCCGGAAATCCCAGAGGTGGGATCAGGTGTCTTAAGGAGGAGTAAGCATCCTCTGTTGACTGGTCACACCTGAATAAGTTAATGTTGGAATAAAAATGAATAATTACTGTCCATTGATAAAGCATCATAAATATATCATTATACATAATACAGTATAATTAGATCTAATCATGTACTGTTAGTATGTATAGGACAGGAAATACAAAATATAGTTATTTATAAAACAGTGTATTTTCAACTTCAGGTCATCATATTAAAAAAAAATCCTATATTTCGGATTATTTCCAAACATTGAGGAGGACTGGTGGCTTTCATTTGTCTCATTATATTTAATCATGTAAATAATGTACCTGACCATCAATATATGGCATGTGGCTTAATTGTGCTATTCCACATGCATCAAAATTCAATTCTAATTATAGCTTTGCTTAGTGTTCACATGGAGTTAATGCAAAGAAATTTGATGCGCAGTAAATTAATTTGAATTAACTTATGTGCATTAAATTCTCCATGTGAATGTGGTTCAAATTTAATCTGTATTAGCTTACATTTAATTCGAATTAAACCCTCCTTCAGTCTATGCAAAAGACATTGGATGGTTGGACCTGACCGATGTGCAGTGCCTCTGGTCCGATGCGTCTTTTTTTTTTTTACACTGGACAAGAATGTCCGATGTGTCAGTGTCCAGTTTTGAGCATTATTATTTTGATGCGGTATCATTTAAATGTTTGTTACAAGTAAAAAAAATATCACAGAAATCAAAATACATACATGAATGTGATTAAAACCGCATGGTCTTTCTACAGTTTTATGCAGGAGTGATCCCTTGTTAAAGAAAAGCTGTTAAGCTAGTCTACTACTCTGTATTTTCACGTGTTTCACTTTTTTACATTAGGTTTTTCGGTCTGACAAAATTTGGTTCGGTCCTGTGTGTTCATCATTACACAGGACCAAATGTCCTGTGTCGTCCAAAAGACTTACGCATAGACTGCTCCTTGTGAAGACGACATTAAATGTACATATCTCATACTGTACACCCTCATCAAAGCTTCACAACCAGTTAATACATATTCTTGTCAGCTGATAAAATCACATTCGCATGATTAAAATGAAAGTGAACGTTAGGTTGAATACCGATCCCGATTAGAATAAAGACAATTAAAGGACTGTTAAGGACCCTCTATACACTAAATCAAAAATGTTTTTAGTCCAAGATAAATAAAATGAACTTTTGGTCTGAATTTACTGTGCTTTTCCAGTTTTATTGGCATTAAGGTGTTGATTATATACTGTAGAAGCACAAATTTTCGTGGGGATAAAATTTTGTTATTTGTTATCTGAGGTTTTGTGGGCATTAAATTTCTTTGTTACGAATGTAACCCTACTCATTATATTGTAATGTAAAATTTCATGTCAGATTTAATTTCGTTGATAATGTTAACAACGACCAACTGACGAAATAAAGGGATACTTCTGCTTTAAAAGCATATATTGTATATATATACATGTATATATATAATTTGTAGCTTCTCTGGCCTTTCTATTGATAATGTAAATAAGTGAGCAGAGTCATCTAGTGTGATTACATTTTTTATTACTTTGATAGGGAAAAATCATAAAACCTGTTGAATTTTTTTATTTTTTTTAAATTCTAATTGCTAATAGATCCAGTTTTAAATAATGCCAATGTTAGCTTCAGTAATTTATGCATAATTAATCCCATATTCCAAAAAATAAAAATGACTTTTCCCTGCATTTCCAGTGCCTCATGTTAGAGTGGGAGGGAGTTTAAAAATTTGCAAGATTTCAGACAGCTACATATCTCTGTTATTTATGTCTCTATGACACCCTAGATGACAGAAAAATTTTGAAGAATTTATAAATATTGTAAATGTTCAATCATAATTCCATATAACATAATTGTATTCTCTGCTGTTGGAAAATCTTTTCATTAAGGACCCTCTATACACCAGTGCAAAATGTTTTTTGGATATTGAGAAAATTATATTGAATAAAGGTGTAAATATTGAGCTTCTCTGTCTAATTTTCAATATGCGGTACGTGGCATTTACCCCCAGGAAAAATGTTCAGAGACGACAAAGTATCAATGAACAGAAATCACTTTTGTTTACTTCCGTAGAGAAAAAACATGCAAGTAAAGTGTTCAATTAATTTATCTTCACCTTTTTAAAATGTTAAGAATACTAAATTGATTACAAATTGAGTATAATATACTGTACATTTCAATTTATTGGAATTGAGATCTAAGGGCAGATCACTCTAACTGCAGAAAAATACCATAGAATCAGAACTCTTTAAGGTGCAGTGTAGATGGGGTTCTTAATTTTTTTTTAAATACCTGAATGGAAGTAAATCTCTTCATTTTGAATTTCAGTGGTTGCATTAATTGAAGTTATACTGGCTGTTTGCACTTTTATAAAACAATCATTAGAATTAAGAAATAAAAGGTCCACATCGCTGTAACATATAAGGAGTAAATTACTTAAATTGCGTCTGTCTACTCTCTACTGTATAAATACATTCATTGTATTACAGTTCTTTGTTTTTGTTTTTTTTTTTGTTTTTTTTTTTTTAATTATGGATTGTATATGTATTGATTGACCCATATGGGTGTATTATGCAATAAAGAATTAATTATACCCCAATAAATACATGTACAGTGTGTACCCCTCCCTTTTTTTTTTTTTTTTTTTTTGCTGAAAATAAAAGTGTGCACACCATAAAAGAGAATTTATAGTACCGGTAGTTCGTATTTGTTTAATATATTAATACATTACATGGTATGCCCTGATGATAACAATGGCCAATGGTGTAGTATTAATTATGTGTCCTGTTTATTATGGAAAATAGCTAAATAGTGAAAATTATCAGTATGACTGTCAGTTGCAAACATCTTTTTTTAATCCCATTTTATAAATAATTTTATTTAACTTTTTTATCTGGACTACATGTATTATTGGTGAAGTTCTCTGTCTTTTAAACTGAACCTTTAATTTTTTTTATACTGATACAATTATTGATAACATACAGACTTAATTTTAAATTTATTGATCCTCCCAAAATTGCCGGTCTTGGACCAACAGACTGTCATTAAGGTAAATAAATATTACATGTAAAACACTGATTCATGATGATGACTGTAGTATGAAACAATGCAGGAAAACGTATACAGATCATGCTGATACACAAACACGTCATTATGAACTCAGATCATTAGAACTTCAGGTAGTGTTTGTTTTTTTTCCTGACATGTAGCTTAATTAATTTCACTATTAAATGAATATTATATAATTGCATTCATACCATAACTTCTCCCTGCTGTGTTCTGAGAATCCATGAACATTGATAATTTCTGATCCGAAATCAATTAATCTACCTGAAATGTATGATAACATCAGTTTTAAAACATGAATTCCATGATAAATAAACATGATAAATAGGAAAATATTCTCAATTACTGTAACTTAGTAGAAGTCACATCATTTTCATGAATCATCACAGCTATATACACATATTCTCTCAAAATTGCCCCAATGCAATAATGAGTGCATGTCAATAAAATGACCAGTATCAATCTTTAAATTCTCATACTTTGAATTAGGGCATGTCACTGTCTAAATGCACAGCATGTCTTTGACATTAATATCAACTTATATAGCTGCACTATATCCCTAGTTTGCCAGGGCTAGAAGACCACGTTGAAGCATGGACCTATACATGCTTAACAAATTAAATCATTATGTCCCTGGGAGAAGTAAACAGCTTAGTCACCCCCCCCCCCCCCTTCATCATTTAAACGTGCAGAAGTTATTTCTAATATTTACGTCTCAGATGTACATGTGTTTTTTTAGTTGACAGCTTACATGTAATGTGTACACAATATTAATAATGATTTTAGCAGCCCACGTACCTATATATAACCCAGGCAGACTGAACGTTTCCCCGGCCCATAACAGTCATGGCGTGACCGACTCTACTTTCGTTTTTAATATGAAACCTTCGAACTTGACATGACACATAAACAAGATGCGAAACGCAAGAAAACATTTAAAATTTCTGACAGTATATTTTGCTACACATTGCAAAAGATCAACGTTGATTCAATAAAATTGAAATATTAGATGCACGTACATACAGAAATAGTTCCTCTCCGCGAGTACAACATATGCCAATACGGAATGTGTTTACCTTCCCAGAGACATAGATATAGAAAAGATTTCTTTATGTTTTTACTAACATAAATAATAATAACTTTCAGTATATTGGTTTTAACCATTTATACTGCAATCATGCAACGATGCACATTGTAACTACACCACATATACATGTATACATTCCCTAGGTAAATTACTGAGTAGACAATAATGCCGTAATGTCATAATGGACACATATCTTTACTCATTAATTCATAAATATTTTATACATAAAATTTATTTATTTATATTTACGGATTTTTCACTTACCTTTTACAAAGTTTACTTCGTCCTCATGTACATGACTAAGTGTGAAACGGGTACTGTATTATGATGTCATTTACGACGTCATTTGATGTAACGAGCATGCGCACTCGCAATGTGTGTAAGTCTCGCCGAGAAGAAAAAATGATGGATCGGTGATCATCTTATACACACTCATTACACAGATCTCATGCATCCGGTCAAATTAACACTTCATTTTTTGGAAATGGGATGCATCCTAGGACATTTTCTAGTTGATTTATGACAAAATCCAACTGAACACCACCATTTCGTGTTCATTTGGATTTTTCCGTGTTCATTTAAACGTGTGCCGTCTAAAGCACGTGTCGAATTGACAGGGTTTACAAACACACATATGTGTGTGTGTGTGTGTGTGTGTGTGTTTTGAAAAAGGCGTGATTCATGACAGTGTCATTTATTCGCACCTGTTCGCATGCGCACTTAGCCTCCAGTTCATTCACTTCCGCTTCATTTCCGTTTTACCTGTATGGTTTGAAAATAATGTAGAAAATTAAAATTTACTAACCATATAACAAAGCAAATGTGAATAGACCTCAGGACCAACAAAGGTAAGCTGTGAACAAGGTTTTTTTTTTTTGAGAAACTTTGAAAAAGAAATGCTTTTATTAAACAATATGACAAATCCAGGTAATCAACACATTCCAATTCCGCATTGCATGTTGTAAATAAGAATAAGTTGGGACCTTGTTAGCAACGTAGATGGAATTGTACCGTGAATATTGAATTTTCTTAAACTTATAAAAGTTTATGATTTGATAGAACATTGATTATAAGCATGATGGGTATGTTACGGTTTCAAGACAACATATTACTTATAGTTGCTTCGTGTAAATCATACAGCCCCCTTGGAATTTCTTAATTCTTCTACATCATGACTATAATAACAATGGAATAAATGCTACACCTTCACACTTCATTATGTTTTCTTTATAAATTGAATGCAGATAATTTTAAAGAAGTAAAAGCCTGAGGAGCAGAGAAACTTGATTGATTTTATACAAAATTTAATATTTTTAATTATGTAAACATAAAATTTGTATTTATGTTCATGTCAGATTATTGTGTAAATAAGTCCCAGCCACTTTTCCTTGATGACAGTGATTTAACCTTCAATATCTCAAACCTTTGGATAGCTTGAAGTTTTTCCTTGTAAGACCGTAGAACATTAACTGGCAAAATTGGAAATATGCAGCTTACATCATTTCCATCTGTTACATTTGAAATGTTTAATGATAGACAATGAAATGGGTGGGTACAATTTGACACAGACGTCTGAGAAAAAAATGGTTTGAAATTCTAGTTTGAAATTATTTTCAATCCACCTGAGCTGTTTTCAAATGCAAAGTGTGAATGTATGATCCAAAAGACAAATATAATTTCAATTCCCATATACATGTTGTTTGGAATTCATATGAGTTTTAAGCCTATAATTTTAAGGAAACGTTAAAGGCATAAAGACAGAGATTATTTTAGAATATTTTTTCAGGGGACATCAATTTGATTCTAAAAGGGGGGTGTCAAAAGTCTAGTCAGACCATGCCTTCACATGACAGAGTATATTTATTTCTAGGATGACAAAAGCTTTTTTTTTTTAGCTTTGTCTTCACTGAAAAATGTTTGACAAACAAAAACAGAAAGGGGTTTTCCAAACTAAAAGAAAACTTTCTTATTTATTTCCAAGATCGTTCAGCCCCCCTCCAACCCCCCCCCCCCCCCCCCCCAGCACACACATACATATATCAAACAGAAATTAAATATTTGTACCATTATATTTCTTTAAATACACTGGACAGAAATCCTGATTTATATAAATTTCAGACTATTCTGAAATTGAAATTATATGTCTTTTTGGTTAGTCAGTAACACCGTGCATTCTAGCATAGCTGAGGTTGATTGAAAATGAATTTCAAACTAGAATTTCAATCCAATGTTTTTTCGGACGTCCGTGTTGAATTGTATCCACCCATTTCATTGTCTGTCATTAAACATCTTGATTGTAACAGATGAAAATGACACAAGCTGCATATTTCCAATTTTGCCAGTTAATATATGTTCTGCGGTCTTATCATCAAGTTTGAGATAACGAGGTTTGACATGTATATAGATAGGTAACACTTTCATCAAATTATATGAAGTGGCATGTTGCAGATTTTCACTATTTTTGCAGTTTATTATGTGCAACATTTGAACTTTATAACAGATATAAGGTCTATATGCCAGAAATTGCAGGGGTACACATATTGCATACAAACTGTACAATAATATGTAAACTTATTCTGTATTGTAATGATTATGTAAAATTAGTGTTCCTGCTTCTTTTTTAGACCTCATTAATTAGCTGTCGTCATGTCACAGTACTTGGCACAGCCTAGAGGCTATGCCTCTGAGTCGGAGACAGGGAGCATGTACGAGCTGCGGCAGTACCCCTCTTACTACTCCTCCCAAGCGTCCATCACTCCTTATGGTAGCCATAAAAGTTTGTTGTCTATGTACACCCCCTCACAGGCTTCTACATTCCTCCCTATTGTCCAGAAAGCCCCCAATCCGGAGAAGAGGCCAGATGACCATTTCGGAATCGCTATGCTGTCCGTGTTCATCAACCCAGTTTTTGGAATAATTGCAATTTTTCTTTCACGTAAGATATTAACAGTAAATAAGTTTCTCTTAACTTGTATAAAGGGAACATTAGATTAATCTGTTGAACTCCTGATAAATTGCAATGCTGTTTTTTTGGAAAGGATAACTTTAAAATCTACTTCAGCCTCTTGCATGACCAATTATTCTAAACAAGTAGTCTTTACATTACTTCTGTCTAATAACATCTCTGTAAAAAAAAAAAGGGGGGGGGGTTGGCTAATAGTAGGGTTTGACACTAACGCTCGCCTGCTAGAATGGGACAACTGAAAAATGATGTCAGACTTCTAAACATTAGTCATCCAGCTTGTCCCAGGAATACTGAAAATTTAGATACTGCATACAATCACTTTAAGCAATTATAAAGATTAACCTATGCTTTTACTAATATCAGGGTATATTACTTGAGGTCTGTCTGTTCTTCTGACTGCCATTCTGTTTGTGGGAAATCTCTTAAGAATTAATTTAGCTTCTGCAACAAAATTTTATAACTCCTTAGGACTGAAAGAAGACCACTATTAATGTTGTGGTAAAAAGGTCAAATGCCAAGGTCTATTCTGTCATAAAATCTGTGACCCAGTGTATGTTGGATTTATGTACATTGTAACTTCTTAAAAAATAAAAAAACCCTTGACGGTTGGTTGAAACCAAATCATATATTTTCAGTGCCATTATTGACTCAAGGTCAATGCACATATAACGGGTAGCTATACATGTACTTCATGTGTGATGTCACACATTAAGTGTTTGAATTTCTACATTATAAAGCTGAAAAGTTTTAAATTATTATAACAACATAATTTTATGAAAATACAATGTATTACCATATGACAAATCAGTGATGGACTATAATTTATTAATTAAAATTTAATTTTACTATGCAAACTCTAACTTAACAAAAATCAATTTTTATATGTCATGTACATAAATATCTTTTCTTTTAGAAATGTCCAAAGACTACTTCAACAGATGTAAATATATAAAGGCATCAAAGTACGGATCATACGCAAAAGGCACAGCCATGGGCGGAATCATTGTCATGCTTGTCGTTCTCGTCCTGATTGTAGCACAAGTCCTGCATTATCAAATGAAATTCTATTATTAGAGGCTACTGGAGTTCTTTTATATGAGTTCCACTCATCCTGTATTTGTTTTCCGGCAGTCTTTATTTATTTTCGTTCTGATGTTAGATTTATTAGTCCAGATGAACAATATTTGGAGTGATTTTATAATTAAAGAGACTCAAATATGTACACTGTGTGGAACATATACCCATAAAAAATTTACTTTGTCACAGGTTAAGTACAATATACACATGAGAAATATTACACAACAGTCAGCATTTGTGATCTGTAATTATCAGTTTAAAAAGGTTGTTGAAGATTTTTCTAAACAAGAGCATTATATAATGGTTGAAAAACTTTCATATAGCTTTTAGTTTATCAAGTGGTTAAGGGACAAATATATACCATGCATTTTAGCTCGGTGTTATTCAAATAAGCAATTTCCTACTGTTCAGGACCTTTTTTTTTTTTTTTTTTTTTTTAACAAGAGAATGTTTTTTTCTCCTGGTTCATTTATGGATTGAATTATTTTTTTTAAATCATACATTTGTTTCATACCATTTTTATTACACTCATATATGTAAATGTATGCATAAAAGTCATGATTTTTTACACTGTATATATCAGGTGATTATTATTGTTTAGATTGTAATTGCATTTTGCTTGAATGTTATGCTGGCCAATATATTTGTAAGGAATTGATCAAATTTTTATATTTTGTCCCATAGGCTTTTAAAAAAATTTAATGTACATTTAATTTTTTTTTTTAATTTGGTGATATAACACAGAAAAAAGTCCTTAAATTTGCAAAATGTCTGTTTTGTAGGACTTGTAAATATCTTTTATTTTTTACATTCAGAGTTTTCTATTTTATCTTACTCCCTTTTGTAATCCTATCATTATATATAGCCCTCTCAATCCAATGACCAAAGCAAAAAAAAAAAACATAAAGGAAAGTGCTGTATAATTTTAACAATTGTCATATTTAAAAGAGGAAAAAACAGTATATAAGAAACAAAATGTATCGTAGATTAATTAGATACCATTTGTCAAAATATGAAAACTAATCAATTTGTGCATTTCACAGTGTCAAAAATTATACAACAATTTTTCTTATGTGGTAAATAATATATTTTGTTTATGTGCACACGCATCATAAGAGTTATGTGACAAGGATAGATCTGTATTTTCTACAAAATAGTTTAAAGTTAATGTTCTGTCACTGCATATATTTATCGTAAGTTCAGAAGTTGATGCACAATAGTTCTTCAATGTGACTCAGATGAAAAATAAGGGAGACAACTTTTTCCATTTTATTTCTATGTAAATGTGCCATTATGTATATAAGTATCGTGGATTCAAAATGCAGAAGTAATAGATTCATCATTATATATGTATAATCCTGTTTCAATAATATATCTTTGTACAAATCATTTTATAACAAATAAATGAAAAAAATGAAATCAACAACAAATTGAATTCATTACTAGATTAATTGCCAATGGTTTTGGAATAAATGATGATATTTCTGAGTAACCTGTGAACAGATTAACCAATTACAAATTGCCATCCCTAATACAGTCAAACCTTGTTATCTAAAACTCAAGGGGACTGAGAAAAAACTCAAGATATCCGTGGGTTCGAGATATTGAGGGTCAAATACTTAAAGAAATAGGGCTTGGGACATTCGAAATAACTTTGACATAATATTCATTGTATTCGAGATATCCGTGTTCGAGAAACAGAAGTTCAACTGTGTATATATACATATATATAAATATACATATACTATATATATATATATATATATATATATATATATATATATATATATATATAATAATAATAATAATAATATATATGTATATAATTCTCTCATTAGTTAAATAGCAAAGGGGAATAACTTTTTAAAGTTGTAACAGACAAGGAGAAAATGTATGGCTAGACCAGGAATCAAACCTGGGGCCCCTGCATCACTAGTCAGTTGCTCTACTGACTGAGCTACCCAGGTCGATAGCCACGGCCCAAACCATTACATAGTAGACTAAAATTAAGTAGAGGCCTGCCCAACACAGAACACTTGACCAAGAGGTTCAGAATTTCAAAAATCTGGTAAAAATACTTTTGCTTATTAAAACTTTTCAGTCTGTTTGCCTCCTACATGCTCAGGAGCATAGAAGATTTTTAAAAGGATAATGCATTTTCACCATAGATTCAACACAGCCCTACCCTTACACCAGAACTCCTTATCAAAGGCCATGAAACAATTTTGGAAGAGGCACACTTACTAATTATATATATGTTCTTACTTTGTTTGCTTAATACCCAAGAGCAGAGAAAAAAAATTAATGGATTTCACTATATGATCAATAAAGCACTGCCCTAGACCCAGGGGCCAAATACATAGGGACAAAGAAGATTTTCAAAGAAATAATGCATTTTTCACAATATATTCAATAGAGCCCTACCCTAACACCAAAACCCCTGACCCAGGGCTATGAATTTTGGAAGAAGTATCCTTGTTCATTATAACCATGCTATTAGTTTTTCTGCTACGTACCCAAGAGCAGAGAAGAAGGTATTTAGAGAATTTATGCATTTTCACCATATAATCATAGAAAACAGAGCCCCCCCCCCCCCCCCCCCCAACACCGGAATCCCTGACCCTCTTGCCACAAATTTCACAATTTTGGAAGAGGCCCCCCTTCCTCATCATAACCATGCACAGTATATTTGCTAAATATATAGGGGAAGAGAACAAGGTTTTTCAAGAATTAAACATTTTCAGAAATAAATGTACAATTTAATTCCATCCAAGTCATTACCTTGTTATGATAGTGATATTTAATTAAGCTCTTTTGACATTAATCTTTTTATGTCCTGAGGGTTGTCTTAACCTTACCTGACTCAGAGTGGACAAGTTCTGACTCAGAGTGGGCAAAAGTTTTGACTCAGAATGGGCAAAAGTTCAGACTCAGAGTGGACAAGTTGACTCAATGTGGAGAAGTTCAGACTCAGATTGGACAGGTTTTGACTCAGAGTACACTGAATCAGACTGGGCAAGTTCAGACTCAGATTCTGGCTAGTGCTGACTTGGAGTTGGAGCATTCAGCAAGCTCAGACTCAGAGGTTGGACAAGTTCCATATCAGGGTGGACAAGTTCAGGCTCAGAGTTGACAAGGTTTGGCTCAGAGTGTCATTTTCTGACAGAGTGGAAAAGTCTAGACTCTGATTGGACAAGTTCAGATTCAGAGTTGGCAAGTTCTGACTCAATTTTTTGGACAAATTGACTCAGACTCATGACAAATTCCCACTCAAACTCAGAGTGGACACGTTCTGACTCACATTGGACAAGTTTAGACACTGAATAAGGACAACATCAGAATCAGAGTCAAGTGACTTAGATTGAACAAGCTCTGATTTAGAATGGACAAGTTCTGACTCAGAGTCAGGTAAAGTTCTATTTGTGAACAAGATCTGACTCAGAGTTGACAAGTACTGAGTCATTGTCAGGATAACTTCAGACTCAAAATCAGAACAAGTTAAGACTCACAGTGATCATTTTCTGACTCAAAGTCAGGACAATTTCAGACTTGGACTTAGAGTGGACAAGTAAATTAAGTCTAAGAGTCAGGACAAGTTCGGGTTCAAAGTGGACAGGTCCTGACTTAAAGTGGTCAGAAAAGTTCTAATTCAGAGTTGGCAAGTTTAGACTCATTGTGGACACTTTCTGACTCAGTCACTACAAGTTAAGACTCCAAATGGACAAGTGGACAAAGTTCAGATTCAGAATGGACATGTTCTTACTCAGATCGATTATGTTCTGACTCAGATAAGGCAAGTTCTGACTCAGAATCAGGGCAAGTTAAGATTCAGTTGAGCCAAGTTCTGACTCAAAGTCAGAGCAAGTTCCAACTCATGGTGAACAAGTTCAGACTCAGGAAGGACAGGTTTAGTCTCAGCCTTGTCAAGTCTTGACTAAGAGTGGACACCTTCTGAGTCAGAGTGGACAAGTTCAATCACTGAGAGGACAAGTTCCGGCTCAAAGTTGACAACTTTAGAATCAGAGTTGGCAAGTTCTGACTTAAAGTCATGGCAGTTTTTGAATCAGAGTCTGAACAGAATCAGACTCAGAGTTGACAAGTTTAGACTCAGAATGGACACTTTCTGACTCAGACAGGGCAAGTAAAGACTCCAGGTGAACAGGTTCTGATTTAGAGTTCAGAAGTTTTCACTCAAAGTGGACAAGTTATGATTGAGGGTGGACAAGTTAAAATTCAGTCTCAAGATTAGACATGTTCTGACTTAGAGAGGGCAAGTTCAGAGTCAGGTCAAGTTCAGACTTAGTCTCAGAACAAGTTCAGACTCCGAGTCGGGGCAAACTCTAACTCAGACTCGGGACAAGTTCCAACTCAGAGTGGACAAGATCAGACTCGGGATGAATAAGCTTTGGTTCAGAGTTGACAAGTTTTGACTCAGAGTAAACAAATTCAGACTCTGTGTGAAAAAGTTTGGACTGAGGGTGGACAAGTTTAGACTTATAGTTGACAAGTTCTGGCTCTATGAAATATGAAGATAACAAACAGTATTCAATCTCGAAAGTCCAATGAAACGATACAAATTTGAAGCAGAGCAAACACTGACCTCAAAATTTAAAGGTGGGATCAGGTACCATGGAGGAGTGAGCATCCCCTGCCGACCGGTCACACCCGCAGTGTGCTCCTTGTCATGATCGGGTTATAACGGAGAAATCCGTAGACAGTTCAGTGTATAAATAATGGTCTAACAATTAGTATGAAAAACGTCAGTCAGATTTTGACTCAATGATAGGTTGTATATGCTGACAAGGTCATTGTATCGACCGTAAAACTTGCGAAAAGTTGACTTCAAACGAGACTGTTTATATCCTTGTTTCATCAACTTGTTTGTCAATAGCTTGCCTCGTTTTAGAAATTGTTCATATGTAGAGCATGCTCTTGCGTATCGAATCAACTGAGAGACATAAACCCCATAGGCAGGTGACAAGGGTATATTGCTACATAAGTAAGGGAAGTAGACGATTGAAAAATTGAAGTCATCACGTTTATCATAAAGTTTGGTTGTTAGGTTACCATTAACGTCTTTTTCTAGTAAAATATCTAAATATGAAACAGATGTGTCAGAATCTGTGGTATCTTTTATTTCAAGCTCACTGGGATATATCGAGTCGACATATGAATGAAAGTAACTATTGTTAATTGATAATACGTCGTCGATATATCGAAATGTCGAGTTGAAAGCCACAGCAAGTGTTTTCTTCTTCTCACGTAGAAGCTTTTGAATAAATTGTTCTTCATATGTATACAAAAATAGGTCTGCTAATAAGGGGGCGCAATTGGTTCCCATGGGAATATGACTTTATATTTTGTTGACCATTCTAATGATTGTAATTAGATGGTCATATTTTTATGCCCCCGTATCGAAGATTTTATACACCCGTATCGAAGATTCGGGGGTATATAGTTTTTGCCTTGTCCGTCCGTCTTTCTCTCTGTTTGTCCGCAAAAACTTTCACCTTGCCAATAACTTTTGATTGGTTGGAGCTATGGCTTTCATATTTCACATGCGTATTCCTTGTGACAAGACCTTTCTTGGAGTACCATGATATTTGACCTTGGAGTTTGTCCCAGTTTGGCAAAATTTTACCGAACTTTAATCTTGGCCATTACTTTTGAACAATTGGTGCTAGCTAG